AAGAGCAGGTTAAAATAATTAAACTATAGCTGAGTCATCTTGAAAGGAATAGGGGAATATCAGAATGAAAGAGAGCACAAGAAGAATATCCCAATAGTGTAAGAAATTAAAAACTTAAGGAAAAACAATGTTTATGGATGAGCACCTGGCAAAGATGTTGACTTTCACCAGGTTTCCAGGGCACAGACCTTAGAAACATCTGGAATCTGATAAGCATTACCGTCCAGCCAGGCCTTATTAGATGATGAATGAGGCTCAAAGTAAAAATTATCTTGGAATATTGGGAAATCAGAGAAAATCATCAGGCTGATATGTAAGGCATTATGGAGAAACTTAAAAGGCAGCTAGAAGAGTTTAGATTTAATATATATTTTGGGAAGTATTTTGATTAAAACAAGAGGAAAAGAAAACCTAAACTATATTAAGAGTATTAGAATCAGAGAAGAAGGGACACATTAGGGGAAAAAAAATGAACATTCGATTCATTTTGAAAAGGAGAATGGGGGTAGAGATATTTATTTTATTACATCTAACAATTCAAAGAAGGAAAAAATACTGCTAAGGCATTGAGCCTGGAGATGAGCATATGATGGTGATCTAGACAGAACTAGGGAACACGGCAATGAGCATAAAAAAGAAAGGTCAGAGCCAGAGATGGATAATCTGGAAAAAGTTCTGCATAAGAAGAATCTTTCAAGTCAAAGGGTAACAGAATCGCTAAGCCAAGTAGAAAGCAGTGAGGCTGGAAGAAAGCTAAGGCCATGGCTCTGGGGGAGCTCCCATGAGCCAAATGCCCTTTCATACAACCTGTTTTTGTAAATACAGTTTTAGTCCACCACAGCCTTGATCCTTCATTTACATATTGTTTATAGTTGCTCGTGTGCTCCAAGGGAAGAGTTGAGTAGTTGACACAGAGACCAAATGGCTTGCAAAACCTGAAGTATCTGGCCCTTTATAGAAAAAATGTGCCAACCCCAAATAAAAGAGGAAGAGCTACCAGAAAAGATATGCCAAAAAGGAAGTCTGAACCCAAGAAAGCATAGCTGCAAGGAAGTCAAGAGAAAAAAGATTTTAAAAGAGTAGGTGAAAAGAAAGGATACAGTGGATGTGGGGAGGATGAGGCTTAGGGGAAAAAATATTTGAACGTTACCACTAGCAAGTAATTATTTGCCATTCCGAAATATCAATTTCTAGATGGGCCAAACCTAACACAAAATACTCAAGAGATGTGTTTCTTTCTCACTTCCTTCTTGTCTTCCTTCTTTAGCATTAAAACATTGTTTTAGTATTAAAACAATCTATTTCTTTCTGCCTTACTTCCTTCTTTTTGTTCTTCTTTAGTATTAAAACAGTATTAAAACATTTCTTCCTTCTTTAGTAGTAAACATTCCTTCTTTTCTTCCTTCTTTAATATTAAACATGTAGCACTAATTCAGGTGCGGTTGGAAGTTACCTAAAGACAAGAGGCACACCCATAGAAAGTCATGTAGTAAAATAGTACTAGGTTGTAACAAGGCAATATATGTGAAAATGTAGCACTCTATATGAAATTAAAGAATTTTGCATTGAGGCAATACATTACCACATACCATATACATGGTTTGGACTGAGTGCTTTGCATTCAGTGGCTATTGTCAATAAAATGTTAAACGAGGCTTTGAGAAATTTGGGATTATAGTATAATTTGGACAGCACAAACAAATTCTTACTATCTTTGTGACCTTGGGACAAGTTACTTAATTTCTCTTCATTTTACTTTGTTCATCTGAAAAACTGGTAAAATCACCACCCATTCGATAGAACTATCCCTCATATTCACCCTGGCATCTGCATTTCCATTGCATGATTTACAGGGCTGTATATTATTCATGCTCTGTTGATTGTCTAGCTTCATCTCCCACCTTCCTCATGGCAGACTCACTTCAGCCACATGAGCACTGCTTGTCTTTGGCAACATTTCACCAATTCTTCTGTCTTCCTGGAAAGTACTCCCCACCTTGTCATGCTGATAAATTTCTACGCCTTCTTAAAGACTTGGCTGAAACATGATCTGCTTCGTAACTTATCCACGTTCCCTGAAAAATTTAAAGCATCATCCTCTGCATTTCCACAGTGCCTCATACTTAAAGCACTTAGACTTAAGATGATCAAATAATTTATCATCCTAACTGAGACACTTTTAAAAGTGAAAGAGGATGCTATTAGTAATTACACCAGGGCAACAGACCTAAACCAGGACTGCCCCAGACAAACTCAGATCCATGGTCACTCACCTTTTCCTTATGTTGTGGTAACAGGTAATAATTTTTTACTTGTCTGTCATCTCCTCCCCACCCCCAACAAAATATACACATATATGCAGTCCTTAAATCCCTGGAAGGGGATGGCCTCAGCACCTGGTATGATGACTGACACTTAGTAAGCAGTTGATTAGTCAAATAATGTATTGATTAAATCATGACAATTTTATTGGAGGAGAACATTATAGCACAGAAAAAGAAGAGATGGGAGGGTACCTTTACAAGCAAATAAACTCCCCTGAGTAGAACAGATGTTTGGGGATTGGAACATAATTTGGGAAAAGATTGTGGAACTCTTGATCCTCAATCAGGATAAGGAAATTTTAACAGTGGAGGAAGGAGAAGGTTAAAAAAAGGAATAATATGGCCGGGCGCGGTGGCTCAAGCCTGTAATCCCAGCATTTTGGGAGGCCGAGGCGGGTGGATCACGAGGTCAAGAGATCGAGACCATCCTGGTCAACATGGTGAAACCCCGTCTCTACTAAAAATACAAAAAATTAGCTGGGCATAGTGGCACGTGCCTGTAATCCCAGCTACTCAGGAGGCTGAGGCAGGAGATTTGCCTGAACCCAGGAGACGGAGGTTGCGGTGAGCCGAGATTGCGCCATTGCACTCCAGCCTGGGTAACAAGAGCGAGACTCTGTCTCAAAAAAAAAAAAAAAAAAAAAAGGAATAATATGAGGATAATGGATAATTTTATGCAAGATGAATTGGAGTGAGTGGAAACAAGAGGGAACTGCAGAGACTATTTGGATAAAATATTAAATTATGAAAGCCTGGATTAGGAATATTTGCCATTTTACATTTTATGCTTGAGGGAAAAGTCGAGACTTTTAGACTGCAAGTAACAGAAATCCAAATTAGCCTGGTTTAATCAAAAAGGGGAAATTGGCTGGGTGCGATAGCTCAGGCCTGTAATTCCAGCACTTGGGAGGCTGATGTAGAAGGGTCACTTGAGGGCAGGCATTTGAGACCAGACTGAGCAACAGAGCAAGACCCCATCTCTACAAAAAAAAACAAAAAAGAATTAGCTGGGTGTGGTGATGCACACCTTAGACCCAGCTACTTGGGAAGCTGATGGTGGAGAATCACTTGAGTCCAGGAGTTTGGGGCTGCAATGAACTATAATCATGCCACTGAACTCCAGCCTGAGTGACAAAGTGAGACCCTGTCTCAAAAGAAAATAAAAGGGGGTAGAAGGACTGAATTTATCAGCTCAGCAGGCATAAATATGTAGGCATTGCTAGATCCAGGTTCTCAAACAGTGTTATCTCATTAGAAATCTTCTCTCTTTCTCTTAGTTCTGCTTCTTACTGTATCAGATTCATTCTTAATCAATTTTTCCCCAAAATGGACTTCGGCAACTTTCAGCCTACTTTCTATCAGCATAACAACCACAGTAGAAAGAGAACACTGCTTTGCCAACAATTCTAGCAAAAATCCTAAACAAGTTTCTCATTGGATACCTGCCCATTCCTGAACCAATCACTGTGATGCAAGGGGTTATGGTCTGATTGGCCAGGCCTTGGTTATGTGCCCACTCCAGATGACAGAGTCAGCTTCACCAGATGCAAATAATCTAAGTGTGTGAGGTGGGGGTGGTGGTGGAGGGAGGGTTGAGAGGATGGAGGGGTGAGGGACCCAGATAGAGGCAGGGATATCTTGCTAAAGGAAAACTAACTTGTTTTGAAAAGAAAGAAGATGGGTATTAGGAAGCAAAACCAATAATGTTCTCCACATAAAGTCTATGGTGTTATTTCTTAGTTTGAAGATAACAGTGAGCTCCTTTAGATCATCAAAATCAAATCACAGAAAAATAGTTGTTAAGAGGAACATAAAAGTAATGATATTCCAAATGAGCAAGAATAAAAAAATATATTTGTTTTGAAGTACTTTAGATTGCATTTATGCAAGATATTTAAAATATAAGAGCTAAAATATAATTTGTTATCTTTAACCTTATAAATATGTTGTTTATTATAATAGTAGACATCTCATGCTTATTATGTATAGAAAACAGAAATTATTATTTCACCTTTCCATCCAAACTATAAATGCAACAGTATAGAAATGTCTGATTACTGATCTTTGAGAAGGCCATTATGGAGCCAGAGGAGGGTTGAAAGGACAGTTTAAATGGCCCAATTTTTGTTGAATTCTATATATAGTTTTATTGTGGAACCAATTAATAAAACTCTTCAGTCTGATATGACAAGGTCTGTGGATTTAAGAAACATTCATAAATTTGTTTGTAGAATTGATAGCATAATTCTGGAAAAACTACAAATGTGAATTTTCCCATAGTACAATTTTAGTGTTCCTAGTTGTCTAGATTAAAAAAAAATTTTTTTAGAAATAATGTTTATTATTATTAAATTAGAAAAAGAAACAAAAAAGTTTTCGTTAAGAGAAAGAAGATTTATGACATACAGGGAAACTAGCACTGACCTTTGAAGTGATGTCACTGTGGTCCTCACGGGTTTTTGTTGTTGTTGTTTTTGTTTATTTTTTCCATAAATATCTGTGGATATCTCAGAAACAATATTGGGTTGGATGGACCATTGATCTGAAATAATGTGGTAATTCTCTTATGATGTAAATATTAATAAAAACCGTTTCCACAGCATCATGCTTGTGTAAGTGGTAAGAATTTAATCATGGTCACTGATACCTTATTAAATCATTTTGATTCCTTTCAAGAACGTACCTTTCAAGAACAAGTTTCTGACACAGAAAATAACCTGAACCAAGAAGCCAGCTTGGTAGAAGCCATCTTTAAAGTATTGTACCATTGCAGTTTTTCTCCACAAACATTTGGAAATGTTTTTGTGAGCTACATGGAAGAAGAACAGTTGTGGGACTTTTTGTATAACATCCCAGGTATGAGACATTTACTATTTGTAAAAGAAATGTTCTATAGATACTTATATATGCCTTTAAAGATGTTTAGAAGTTGTATTGATATTGGTTTTGCTGAATCTGTTGTTTGTAAAAGTTTACCTTACATTTTTTCAGTATAAAGCCTTCTGTTGGAAATCATTAATTATTAGTTCCTGTAAAATTACGTATACTTTGGGACAAGATGGAAGTGAGATTGAAAGGAAAATATTTTCTTTTTTTAATGATTAGGGAAAGTTCTATCATAAAAATTTATTTTAATATTTATCACAGATTATGTTTTGCTATTGAGCATATAAGATATTAGTAAGATGTGAAAAGTATTTTGTGATTCTTGGGTGCATTTATTCAGCAACTTAATGTACAGCACTGTTGGTCAATTTCTTCAAATGTATAAGGCATTTATTATTATGACCATAATGTGTCTCTCTACAAGGCAAGCATGTCCTATGATCCCTTTGGAGAGAATATATTTTTCCCATCTGTATTATTCTTCTTCCTACAGCTAGAAAGGATAATAAAGACAATGCAGGTTGTATATTTGAACAGGAGATTTTAACGGGCTGCCTGTCATCTGACCAGTGTAAAGATTCCCACATTGTCTCATCCTTAATATTCTGCCTTTAAATTTTCATATTTAATATCTTGGGAAAACAAAGGATGAAAACTTGGACAATGATGATGATTATTATTATCCTGCTATTCCAATAGTGATTTTTATCATTTACATTTAGTTTTCAACCTATAAACTCTCTTATATCCTGCTTTGGAACCTGAATTTTCATTAAATATTTCCTAGGCTCCATATAAAAGATCCAACTAGTTCATAATCATGGTTTCATTCCTCCTAGACTTTTTGACTATCCTCCCGATATTACTTGAATATCATTCTAGCTGTTTTAAAGTCATTATGTTTCATCTTCTCTTGGTCATTATCCCTATGAAATAGCAATAGATAACTTCACATTATGATTTTCAAAATTCAAATCTGTCATTTAAAGTTTCTGTAATAATGATCTCCTTTTAAAGTGTTATTTCCTAGTTTCCATGCATTCCCTTATTGCTTCTTGCTTCCCCAAAGGAAAGGCATATTTCTAGGTAAAAAGATGGAATCAGGAGCTTGTGTTTCTGATGTAGTCTTCACTGAATTGAAAGAAAAAAGTTCTTGAAATTCCTACCACCCTCTGCTGTTTTTAGTTGTTTCTGGGGAAGTAAGAGCTGGATTTTCTCATAAGATTATAAAGAATCTATGACCCTCATGCTTCAACCTCTATCCTTCAACTATTAGGTTCTTGAACCATCTTTGATACTCAGCACAAAACTATACTGAAAATGACCTAGAGGATATTAATGGATTTCAAGTGCTGCTGAGGGAAAATGAAACTGTTTCTTGCTCCTAATTTGACTTCTCTCCAACTGCATATTGAGAAAACCCTCCTCCAAATGGTCAGACAAGTCTCTGGAAACAGACGTTACATATATTCAGAGTCTGAATTATGTGTGGAAGCTCAAAGGGGCAGAACTTCAAATGGGTGAAACTCCTCTATCCTTTGTACAAGTTGTTGCTCCATAAACATTAAATATTCTCTGGAACCTGATGCCTGCAGTGGTCATGAGGGTCTGAACTCTTATCTTTTCTCTCCTATTTAAGTCTTTGAAAAGGTCTTTTTCTTTCTTCTGTTAGTAATCAAGACTATTTTGAAAATCCTAATAAGATAATACAAGGTACTAATTCATCACAAAATCAAGCCTTTTACTATGACTTTTCATTTGAAAACATAACATGTTTACAAGAAATACAGCTGGGACGTAGTCATAAACCCATAATATTTACATTTTATTAATAATAGATCTATGCTTCAGTAAAGATAATTAACCTACCAGCTTAACTAAAGCACATCTTTTTAAAACTTCACGGCTGGAGTTTCCTCCTACTAAATCACTCTATAATTTCAGCATGGCTTACCTATAAAACATCACAGTCTTATCATTTTAGGGTAAAAGGACAAAGATGAAATGGTCAGTATCTTCATCTTACTGTTGAGTAAACAGAAAGCAGAGATATTAAGAGAGTTTCCTAAGATTGTCCTCCAATTAAGTTGGACAGACTTAGCACAGGAAACCAGATTGCCTCTCTCCTAAGCCAGCAGTCCCCAGCCTCTTTGGCATGAGGGACCAGTTTCATGGAAGACGATTTTTCCACCAGGAGGGGTATAGTTTTGGTATGAAACTGTTCCAGCTCAGATCATCAGGCATTGGTTAGAGTCTCATAAGGAGCAAACAACCTAGTTTCCTCACATGCGCAGTTCACAATAGGGTTCACGGTCCTATGAGAATCTAAAGCCACTAATGATTAACAGAAGCTCAAGCGGTAATACTCACCCACCTGCTGCTCACCTCCTGCTGTGTGGCCCATTTCCTAACTGGTCACAAACTGGTACTGGTCTGCAATCTGGGGGTTGGGGACTCCATCCTAGGCCATGTTATTTCTCATTTTTTTTCTATTAGACTAAATTTTTTTGAGACACTACTTTTATATACATATGAATTCAGTAACGAATTATACAGCCTGATTTTATAATCAGAATTCTATCTAACACATAGCTCCTTAGGGTGGACATGCGCCAGGGAGGGAAGACAAGAATGAAAATACCCACTTAAGATTACTGCAAAAGCTATAAATACAAAAAATAATTAAGTTAGGGACCTAATGTGGGCGTTTCTAAGGCCAATGCACTCTATAAGAAATAAATTTGTGAACAATCATTGGACACATATGTTTTCAAAGTAAATCAAGCATTTTATAGTTAGACAAATGAAAATATCCAAGCACAGGTTACTTCAGCTGGTCTTTCAGACAATGTCAAAACAGGCTTGTAAATGAGGCAAATACTGTCAAAAATGCCCCATCTAATATGATAGTAATATACTCAACAAATATTGTTCACTTGGAGCCTCGATATGGCATTGAGCTTACTTTTGTTTTCTGAATCAGTTTTCTTAACTCTCTCACAAACTTTGGGAAAAAAGCTTTCAATAATGTAGGAAAATTTCCCAATTAAATGGTGAGATCCAGGGTTTCCGCTTTGGTTCTCTATTCCTCCTCAGCCTCATAAAGGCATTTAAGAAGAGTTGTTTAGAGAGCATATACGGGCTAAATTGTCTTCTTGTTGCCAAAATTAGTTGACAGTATTTTACCTTCCTATTAGGCACAGTGATTGGCTCTATCACCTACATAAATACCTGCAGCACAGTGTAGGCAGATTTTAAATGTAACCTTTCACATATTGAAAGGCTGTCTTTGTTCTGTGTTGTAACTAACCATTTATTCTGAGCCTTTTGTCACCATTCAGTTTGTTTGCAATCCACTTTTTCTGTTTTTGAGACAGAGTCTCACTCTGTAGCCCAGGCTGGAGTGCAATGGCGCAATCTTGGCTCACTGCAACCTCTGCCTCCTGGGTTCAAGTGATTTTTCTGCCTCAGCCTCACAAGTAGCCGGGACTACAGGCGCACACCACCACGCCCGGTTAATTTTTGTATTTTTAGTAGAGACAGGGTTTCACTATGTTGGCCAGGCTGGTCTCAAACGCCTGACCTCGTGATTCGCCCACCTTAGCCTCCCAAAGTGCTGAAATTACAGGTGTTTGCCTGTAACTTTAAAAAATGTTTTAAAATATTTTATTGAGTGAATATAATAAAATTCACTTATTTCAAGCGAAAAGTTCAGTAAGTTTGCTCAATGTATAAATCTATGTGACAACCACAATAAAGATATGGAATATTTTCTGTCATCTTCAAAGGTTCTTTCATTCCCCCTTTGCAGTTGATCCACCTTTCAACTCTCAGCCCCAGGAAGACACTGACCTGCTTTTTGTCATGATAGTTTACTTCTGATATTTTACAATCTCGTATAAGTAGAAATCTATGTATTCTTTTGTGTCTAGCTTCTTTTGCTCAGCTTAATGTTTTTAAGAATTTTATGTTTATCGTTAATTTCTTTTCATTGCGGAGCAGTATTTCACTGGGTAGTATTTTTTTTTTATCCACTTACCAGTTGACAGACATTCTGATTATTTCTAGTTTTTGGCTACAATGATTAAAGCTACTATGAATACTAGTGGATAAGTCTTTGTGGTCAGGCGTGGTGGCTCATGCTTGTAATCCCAGCACTTTGGGAGGCCGAGACAGGTGGATCACTTGAGGTAGGGAGTTCGAGACCAGCCTGACCCCATCAACATGGTGAAACCCCATCTCAATAATTAAAAAAAAAAAAAAAAATTTGTGTGACTACAGTCATCCCTCAGTATATGTGAGGAATTCATTCTAGGGACCATTCCCCTTAATAAAAAAAAATCCATATACTCAACATATACTTAACTCCTGCAGTCAGCCCTACAGAACTTGCATATATGCAGGTTTTGCATCCTGCAAATATGGTATTTTCAATCCACATTTGATTGAAAAAAATCTCCATATAAGTGGACCTGTGCAGTTCAAACCCATGTTGTTCAAGGGTCAACTATGTATGTTTTCATTTTCACTAAGTACTTAGAAGTGGAAATGCTAGGTGATATTATAGGTACACTTTTAACTTCATAAGAAACTACTGGTGGCTCATGCCTGTAATCCCAACACTTTGGGAGTCTGAGGCAGGCCAATCATGAGGTCAGGAAATCAAGACCCTCCCAGCCAACATGGTGAAACCCTGTCTCTACTAAAAATACAAAAATTACCTGGGTGTGGTGGCTAATGCCTGTAATTGCAGCTACTTGGGAGGCTGAGGCATGAGAATCCCTTGAATCCAGGAGGGGGAGGTTGCAGTGAGCCAAAATCACACCACTGCATCCACTCCAACCTCGTGACAGAGTGAGGCACTGTCTCAAAAAAAAAAAAAGAAGAAGAAGAAGAAGAAACTACAAAACTGTTTCACAAAGTAGTCATATATCTTTATATTTTGCCCAATAATGTACAAAAATTTTGTT